ATGTTGATTTCTTTCCCAATGAGCCCAAAAGAAATGTGTCCTTCTTTGAATACCTTGGGGTGGGCAGGGGCAGGTGAGACTGAACTGAGGGGTAACCAACCAGTGTGTCACAGCATATGCTTAATGATGCTTCTCCCCACACATGCCCCTCATGTCTATTTGGGCCCCACTTCTTGCAGCAGCCAGCAAGCGTGAATTGCTGAGCCTGTATTTCTGGAGAACATTTGGAGTATCAAGTAGTATGTTGGCAAAGCAGATTGCTGTAGCCAGAGATGTAGTGAGTACCCTCCTGGGTGGAGGTCCTGCGTTTCCCTTCAGCCTACAGACTGTGGAATAACAGGGCTCCCAGATTATTCTCTGAAACACATCATCTGTATTAATTTTGACGTCATGGTGGGGGGAAAAGTCAGCTAAGAAGATTCAGCAAGGGTCCAAATTAGTGTTCCTGGTTTTTCTTTTAAGTATCCATGGTAGAGTATTACCAAGTGAAGATAACACTAAGGAGACTTCAGAGGCCAATGAAGAGGGCAAGGATGAATCTATCAAGAAATTTTACTTCTGATGACAACTGTGTTTTCAGATCCCTAAAACAGTGTCTAAATCCCCCGATAGTTGTGTGGTGAAAGGTCATTTGCTCTGTCAACAAATATATTCTGTTAACTCAGGCTGAAATGCCTCTTGTACACTTTTTTAAAATTCACTTGCCTTTGCCCAAGAGTCAGGTACTGGATCCGAACCCCGCATGTGCAAACCATTCCACCTGGAATGCAAATGCCAAATATGGCAGTGACCGGCTTCAGAAAGCATTGTGTACACGTGTGCACATGTGTGTTCATTTGGAAGAACAAATGCATACATATGAATTTCTCTTTTTCTCTTATTTATAGATAGGTAAAATTTATGAAATGAGAATGATGATGGATTTTAATGGCAACAATAGAGGATATGCCTTTGTAACATTCTCAAATAAACAGGAGGCCAAGAATGCAATCAAGCAACTTAATAATTATGAAATCAGGTAAGCAGAACAGATACCCCAGAGCCAACCTCACCTGCTCCCACTCAGCCTTGTTTCAATGGAACCTGCCAGAGAGAGAACCTCTCTTGTAGAGAATAACCTTTGATTTGCTCTGACCAGGGGAAAGATAGAGTTCTCATCCGGAAAAGACCCACAGTTGTCCGAGCATCCTCCTCCCCCTCAAATATTCACGGAGAATCATCTAAATACCTGGCTCTGGAGACATGAAAATCGAGCCCTCGGCTTTTGAGAGATGGCTTTTCTTCTCCAGCAATTCTAGGGAAGGTGCCTGACCAACCCCACATTTAGAAATAGAACGTGGAGCCCCTAGGCGCCTCCTGCTGGTAACTGATAGCTGACCAGCCCCAAATTATCAAAAATAATAATTTCTAAAGATCTAGTCATAAACCATTTTTTAAAAGTAAAGTTTAAAAAGAAAATGAAAGATTACTTTATCAATTCTTCCCTTCCACCCTACTCCCATAAACCATGTTCCTAGAGTGACGGAGATGACCCCGTCACAGATCTGATCCGTGGTCCTTGGTTCTTCAGAAAAGCAGAGAAGGCAACTAGGACAGTGGCCCAACCTGGCCAGGATACCTGCCGCACATATAAGCCACTATTTCCAAGAACTCACCTGGGTGGGCCTTTTCAACCATGACAAACAAGTGGTTTCTGTTAAAGGAACTTGGGTCATTTTTAATAATTTTGTGTTATTACAAAAGTCACACAGCCTGTTTCACAACACACACACACACACACACACACCAACAAACAAATCCTACAACGTAATAAAAGTTAAACCATTCCTCCGTAACCCCATTGCCCAAAGATAATCACTATGTTGATTTTTTATTGTCTTTTTGGGTTTTCTATAGTTTTAATAAAAATGGCCTTCTCACATATTTAATTTGTAGCCTTTTTTTTAACCCAGCAGCATATTGTGAACTGCCTTTTTTTTTAACCAATAAATATGCTTCTACATTAGTATGTTTAATGACTGTAGCGCATCCTATACTATGAATGTCCGTCTTCTGTTAACTAGTGCTTCTCAGCCAGCAGCATTATTGTCCACCCTAGTGGACATTTAGAAAATGAGGAGGCATTTTTTCAATGACCTAACGGGTAGCTACTGGCATTTAGTGGGCAAGAACCATGGTGACAACTATACTATGGTATACAATGAGGAAATGTCCAATCCCAAAGTCAGTAACATCTCAGGCGAGACACATTAAACCAGTAGTTCTCAACCTGTGGGTCGCGACTCCTTTGGCATTCGAACGACCCTTTCACAGGGGTCACCTAAGACCAACGTGCATATCAGATATTTACATTACGATTCACAACAGTAGCAACATTACAGTTATGAAGTAGCAACGAAAATAATTTTATGGTTGGGTCACAACAGGAGGAACTGTATTTAAAGGGCCAGAAGGTTGAGAACCACTGCATTAAACTTTTCAGGTTATCTTAAATAACAATGACAAATACCCTTATACATAATACTTGGTGCTCATCTGTTTCCTAAGGCCCCTTTCAGAAGGGGCATTATTTGGTCAAAGATTATGCACACTTGAGACTTTTGAGACATTTTGCCAAATGTTCCCCAGAAACGTTTAATCCATCTGCCAAGGAAGGTGCACTTTGACTTGCTATTAAGCAACACGGCTCAGTGGAAGAAACAGGAATTGAACCGAGAACCCAGCAAGTCACTTAATTTCTTGGAGTCTCAAGCTCCTCATCTGTGAAATGGAAAGAACACCTCTGCATACCTACAGGCTCAGTGGAGGCCACGTAAGATAATATGTAAAACTGTTCAAGCATAAGGGACTATTGTTAATAGCAGTCATGTCAGAATAGCTTCCCAATTTGGATGGAAAAGCAGAGAGACCAGAGGTTGCAAATTCAAATACCTTCAGGGCCAGGCAGAGACCTGAGCGATGTGGGCAGGTATAAAGGCCTCAGCAATGGGGATGGTTTAGGGAGGAGTGAGAATTGACAACTGGCGCATCCACATCTACTCGAAAGACAGCAGATGCTACTCAGCTTCAAACACCTTTTTTCCTTTAAAAATACAGAGCAAGTCTGGCCAGTGTGGGTCAGTGGTTGAACGTCAACCCATGAACCAAGAGGTCACTGGTTTGATTGGTTGCAGGCTCCATCCCCAGTAGGGGGCATGCAGGAGGCAGCCAATTGATGTATCTCTCTCATCAATGATTCTCTCTCTAGCCTCTCCCTTTCTCTCTAAAAATCAATTTTGAAAAAAAAAAAGAGAGAGAAAGAGATGCCCATGGACACAGACAACAATGTGGCGAAGGTGGGCATAGGGTGGGGCGGGACAGGGGCTGG